TAATGGCCAAATCTCCCGAGGCAGAGAAGGCAGTTGACAAGTTAGCTGTTTAATTTGGCCCGTTGGTCTTAGTACAACGGATTTACGAGTAATTAACCTCAAGATTGTGACATTTATTCTACCCTCACGCCCCTTCGTCTCCTTTTTCACTTGCATTTTTTTTCTGCCTCAGTCTCCGATCACGGTGACGGACCAAACACCAATGGAGACCGTACTTGACTTCTTCCGAAAACTGGGACTTCGTCAAGTCCTAGTTACGAAAAATGGGTGAGTCAATGTTTAATTCTTTTTTAAGCTTAGATTTTAGTTTAATTATTTTTTAAGTCTACCTACCGTGTTAGCTGATAGAACACGAGACTAGTAGCCGCCTGTGGCTTTGCGCTCAGTTTCCTGGCAATTAGAGTTAGTGTTATGGTTAGGGCTAATATAAGGTCCAGGGTAGGTCTGGGGCTAAGATCGTGGCTACGGTTAAGGTTTGAGCTAAGCCTACAACACAGAAGTGATTGTCCTTTCTCGAGCAAAGTGCAAGGCAAGCAGTGTTATGTAGGAGACGCTCCTAATACCGGATACTGGTAGAGGAGGCCAGGTAAGCACTTCCAATCATATGCTCTCAATATATTAACCGATTATTTTTTGATTTTCATCAACGCTTTAGTCAATTGTGCATGTCACATGACTTCTCACTATCCATAAACCTCCGTTATTTGTAAAAAAATTCGCGATCTTTACATTGGAGTTCTTATTTTTGAAGGTTGAATGGTGGATTCTGATTAACCTTTCGATCTCATTCAAAGATGCAGACTTTCAATCGCTTCCTGCGCTAACCAATGTTACCGACTTGACATAGTGATATTCCAACCACATTTTGGCCCAAACATTTAAACTGAGAGGGGCGCTTCGTGGGGTATTTGTGCTCAGCGCTTTAGTTACTTCTCCTAGTTCGTAGAAGGTATTGTGTCGATCCGTCTTCTAGTCAGTGCGAATTCTGACTTCTCATCCGAGGATGTATTTGGTGTACTCTGATTATGCGTCCGATTTCGTGCATATTTCCTCTTTGCTTTGCGCCTTAGCATTACGCCATTATCAGAAATATTTCAATTTTGACTATCTTCTTTCAGACCTACAGGCTGCAGTTTTTTACCTAAAACTTGAAACATCGGTGCTTTATTTGCATTCTGTGTCGGTATTTCTCTGAGTTCTCCTCTGTCTTCAATTGTAGGCGTCTTTTGGGCATAATAACCAAGAAGGACGTGCTGCGCCATTTGCAAAGCCAAAAGCGCTGGTAGCTTCGTCAGTTATTCATGCGCATAGCACTGACATCATGTTTTTGCAACTTGTTCATACTTACTTGACATTCTCCTAAAACTGATTGTTTCCCCGCGACCCTCTAATTTACGCAAACCTTTGATTTCGTCCTGACAAGAGCATTATAACAAACTCTCTGCCCCGCCGCAGTGGTCTGCTTTTCTGTCAACGCCGGTACAGATTTTTACCGTCTCTCCTTTCATCTTCGCAATCTTGACTTGGTTGCCCTCCTCCGTCTGCATCCCTTCCATGTGAACTCTTTCTTTTCTGACTTCCTCTTTTAGCCTAACCTGCACCAGTTTGTGAATGCCCACTTACTATCATTTACTATGCTTTTTTTGATTTGTTACTATTTTACCCTGAGATTTGTTTTGCTCCATTTTTGCAAACACGTGATTTTGCACTCCAATAAAAACCTACCCTTGCGCGTGTTTTGGGCTTAAATAGCCCCTCATTTCGTGGCCACCGCGAGTATTTGTAAGTCGGTGGAGATTGTCATGTATTCTCCAATTCCATTGCTGATGTTGGACAGTGTAAAATCCTCTAGAAGGTTCTGATTTTCCAGAAGACGTACTGCCACACTTTCGGGTAACCTACTTCGTCTTGCGATTAGGGTAGTCTATGACCGCGGTCGGCATGCGACTCAGATAACATTCATTTTATCAGAATATCAAAGCTGTAACATTAGTCCGTCCTTGTCTGGATTGCACGCTGAACGATGAAATATTCTGGAGAAAAAGCTATGTAGTTATGAGATCAAGTGTTTATTCATACAGCCCTGTATCTGTTTGTTTATCAATACTGCTTGTGAAATCTACAGCGTAGTTCACATTCATCGCTGAATGTCATGAGCCTTGTGTGACTGTTCCTAATAGCTTTCGGTAATTGTGATTTTGCATGCCTGAGAAGTAAACAGTGTGTTATTTGGGAACCCTAAGCGCCAGTGCAACTGCAAGTCGTATGCAGCATTATTCGACGATTAAATAATTTTTTAATCAAAAGGTACCCTTTCTCTAAGGAATAAATTTCGAGAAGGCATAATGTACCGCCAAACAACTGCAAGGAATCATATTTTGTGTTTTTTTTTTTCAAAAGAATATGTTTACATTTATAAGAGCATTTAAAAGTGTTGTATCCTGGTGTGTTCCTGTGTCAACACCGGTTATATTCCCCCAGTACGTGTTAGGAAGAGAAGAC